GTTCCCTAAACATGTTTAACACTCACACATTGTCAGGTCTCCTAAACTTGGACATGTTCCAGATGTCGAAAGGTCATCATCTCATGACTTCTTTAGGAGTCTTGCAGGATATGAATTATCCAATTAACAAACTATATATACGTCTGCACATGAACGCACATACATTTCTTTCATTAACTAACACTTAACTCTTATATATAAATATAGCCTCTTTGCATTTCCTCTGAGCTTGGCGTCAGCTTACTTAACATAATAATTAGCAAAGAGACGATTCTATGGAAACTGTAACTTAATAACATACCTAGTTACTATGACTAGGTCCAAGATTGATATAACAATAAGTACCCTGTATCAAGATTGATGCAAAACAAGTGAAATTCGACCTTTTTAGAGAGATTTAGCAAAAAACCCACTTCTGGGGTCATTTGGGTGGATTTGACCTATCTCTGGCCCCCCTTGCTCGATTTTGCTGATTGACATCTCTTTCTAACCGTTGGAGCCAATGGAATCGAGGGGAACTCCCACATACTCCTTATTTGGTAATGTGTGTGTGTCAGACTGTCAGATAGCCAAAACCGGAAGCTGCGATAACTCTGGTGGCTACCATTAGCAGCTAACTTTTACTCTCCGATTTTTACATACAAATGGAATTATGGATTATAAATAATGCTGTCAAAATTATCGCGTTAACGGCGGTAATTAATTTTAATTAATTGCGTTAAAATATTTAAGGCATTTAACGCATGTGCAGAATGGCCTGCCCCATACATCCCACCAGTGGCAGCGCCAGGGTATGGCTGGGGTAGGCTACACCCATACCAAGAGATGGCTTAGAAATGAAAAATGATGTTAAAGTAAGCAAAATAAAGTCCGCCAACTCGCACCGAGAATTGCACAGACAGCAGTTAGTAAGATTGATTTCAGTAGCCACTTGTCTGGAAATACCGAAGACCAGAAACTGTTTTGAAAACTTTTGTCACATAGTGATCGTCTTCTCAATAGAACATCTTTGATAATGTCTTCTGGCCAATCAGAATCAAGATAACGGCATGGTGTTGTTGCAGGAAGTCCCGACGGAGAATACTTTTGCTGTAGTACAGGGGTGCACATAACTGGTACGCAGGTACGCATGCGCAGCAACAATCTGAAATGCGTACCGTCACCTGTGTCACAAAGCGCATTTGCGTCTCGATGTACTTGTGAATCTTTGCCAGGAGGCGGTTAGATCACCGGACGACAGAGCCGGTCGCCATGTGCACAGACAGGGCTGCTGTTAACGTCGGTCTGTACAATGGAATTGTGCCAAAACTACGCTCCCCCCCCCCCCCCCCCCCCCCCCCCTGTTGATAGAAATCAACACGTAATGAAATAAGACCCCACGGTTTGATGATTGATAAGTGTGTGGGCTGTCTTTCATTTTGACACACAGAACAATGTTATAATAATAAACATACATACAGTACATATATACTGTATGTTAAATGGATATATCCACCTTCTTTCATTTATCTTTCCATTCCCACAACAATATACATAAAGAAATGGCATATTTTGGACATAGTTTGAATGGTGAGTAATCATGATTAATTAATTTTTAAGCTGTGATTAATCTGATTAACATTTGTAATCGTTTGACAGCCCTAATTATAAATTTAAAAAAATATTCCACAGAAACATTATCAACCTATGGATTAAACAATTCAAGTCTTTTGATCAGATTGACAGCTACGGTGAGACGATCTCCCGTAAAAGCTACGTAAAGGTCTGTGTTTGCTTCCCCTGTCGCAAGTTCGGATCACTCAGTGATGATATATATACCTAAATAATCTGTGGAACCTCAACTTTAATCGGATATCTTGTATGTGCAGCTACGATAAGCAATAAGGATATATTTTATCTTGAGTTCTGTGCCAAAGTGCGTTAGCATTTTTCGCTCAGGGGTCATTTAGATGCTTCTTATGAGACTTGTGTTTTGTTTTGGTAAAAATGGTTTCTATCGTCAGTTAGCTGATATTATTCCCGTTAATCTGGTACAACACATTAATAGGTTCTTAAATATTAAGATCCCCTGAGACACAGTGGCGTGAAAAAAAAAGTACCCGCCGAGGGGGACCTTGGGGCTTAACAGGTTAATAAGTCTGCTCTTCTCAGATTCTGCTGAGTTACACGTCACTGCCTCCTGGTTAGGGATGGGTATCGTTTGAAATTTATCGATTCCGATTTCGATTCCGGTTCTGCTTATCGATTCCGGTTCTTATCGATTCCCCGTTTCGATTCCAAAATTGTAAAATAAAGAGGTCAAACGTTTAGATAACAAAAATATATTTATTCTTAAAAGCTTTAACTGAAATTGTTACTAAAAAAATATACATGCAATACAAATGTATTGCACAATAGCTGTGCTTTATTTAACTGAGCTATGCCTGTGGCAAGCTATTAACAGGCATTACACTTTGCCTTTTCTTTTTCTTTTTTAGTGTAGTGGAGCCTCACTTCAGAGTGTTTACCGCGACCTATCTTTGGTGTTATGAAGTGACTGAGCTCGTGAAATGTCTACGGGAGGGCGGGGGAGCATCGCTGCGGGGCAACTGTGGACCTCTGTCGCCTGTCAGCGCAATTTATATGATGCCGTTTAAAAAAATGAAGGGCGGTGCCGGCCGTCAGCGTACCGAGCCGGCCGTCAACGGCCCGCTGACGACCGGCCATTCTGTGATTCTCCAGGTCCGCCCTGTATTCCACCGGGTCACCGCAGCACCGCGGTGCAGACGGACCCGCTGGAATACAGGGTCTACCGCGTTTAGGAACCGTTAAGCAGAACCGAAATTGTGTATTTTGTATGGGCACCCGGTACCCGGCATTTTCTTATCGGTTCTCCTCTGGAACCGAGTTTCGGTTCCCAACCCTACTCCTGGTGCAACAGAGATTTCATGAAGTGAAGGAGGTTTTCCTTCTATAAAACAGCTTCGGGCATTAGATACTGTGAGAGTCACGGACATGAATTCATAGATCAAGACAGACTGGTTCACAGACTCTCGTGTTTTGCCGATCCTGTTGAACCCCATCCACCCGCTGGCGGGGGGAAAAACGCATCATCTGCAGGAAACAGCGTCTGAGTTAAACCTGAGCGAAAAAATGCTAACGCCGTTAGCACATAACTCACGGTATAACACCCTTATTACTTATCGTAAATGCAAATCCAACATACCGATTAGCATTGTTGGAGCTATATATATATATATATATCTTTATATTATTTAATAGTTTAACATTTATTTTCTTGCTGTTTATAGTGTTTATTATTATTATCATTTATTTATATGTATTCTTAGTTAGTGTCATAAGTTAAAGTTTTTTATTTTGAAGTTTTGGGCACTGGGTAATTAGAGCACCTGTTGTAATTGTATATATTGGAGACAGGTGGGTGGTGGGAGCCAGAGCACTAGTAGGCAAACGTTTTTTTACCAGGGTGTTTCAAGCCACACAAAGGAAAGCCATAGGAATGGCTTAAGGAAAAGGGGTATAGGAAACCTGTTCATTGTACTTTATTATTGGAATAAAATGCACAAATGGAGGTTCTTGTCTGGACTTGGATGATCATTGCCCTGCGTAAGATCCGCTAACTAGTGCCTCAGCGGCTGTTTTAGTTCTATAGGATTTTGACCGCAAAAAGCATTGTGAGATTAAACAGATTCGGTGATGATCGATGATCCATGATCACAACTCGCGAAATGAGAAACAAAAACAGACATCACAACACGTGGCATTAGGTAGCTAAAACGGCAGGAAGGTTAATCCATAGGTTAATCCAATGTGTCTGTGTCACTTTGAAATGATTTCTGATAATCCATCAGCAATAAACCTAGTTTTAAGTTGTCAGAATTCAGAGCGTAAGATAGCTTTCGCTTTGGGCAAACTGTGTGCGCATAGCCCCCACTTCTCAATGGTAACGTTGGTGTGTAAGTGGAAATTCCCCTTTGATTCTATTGATTCTAAAAGTTCAAAAGAGATGTCAATCATCAAAATCGACCAATGGGTTCCAGAGAAACGGCAAAAACGCCCATTTCCACCCAAATACACCAGAGGTGGAGATTTTTTTCTAAACCTCTCTAAAAAGGTCAAATGTCACTTGTTTTGCATCAATCTTGATACAGGGTACTTATTATATGTTGTACTTTGGATTCCTAAAGCTTTCAGTCTACTAACCCATCATCCAAGGGTGGTTTTCACTATAAGTAAAACACATTTTTGGACGGACACTATAATTCACATTGTTTTACTATTTTCAATCTGAATTTTCTTTAAAATAAAAAACATCTATATTGATTCTGCATATTCTACATCCAACTCACAGGTTTATCATTACTTTGAGAAAAAGGATTATTAATTTTCCATTTTTTAGAAGTGTAGTTATGGTCATTTGTTCTGGAAATGTCCTTTCCTTTTCGAGTCTGAGACCTGAAAAACAGGTTTGGGGCTCAACAGGTTAAACAAATAGCTCTACACCCCTGGTCGAAATGTCCCTAAAATGAAGTCCGAATTCGAAATATATCTCAAATAATGTATGCACTTTTTTTTCATTGCCCTGTAGGGGCTTCGTACAATAAAAAAACAAATATTTTATTTTAAAAAGTAAAGTCCTTTCGAGTCATCTGTCTCAAGCCTAAGTCAAGTCTCAAGTCATGAATACCAAGTCAAAGTCAATTTGAGTCTTTTGTCAATATTAGTCAAGCTAGTCTCCGGTCAAAAAATATGCGACTCGAGTCAAGTCATATGACTCGAGTCCACCACCTCTGGTATATACTGTGTAGAATGTTGCCATATTACTGTATCAAATATAATAAGCACAAACAGTTAGTACAAGTAGTATTTTGTTAATTGTATATGTATTAAGTGAGTTTTTATTGTGGCAACTCTATATGTATTTATGCTTTTTAGATTTACTTTGTCTCTTTCTCTGTCCGTCTGTTTTAGAAACCGAAAGGAAGAGAGAAACGTCACAGCTGTCAGCAATGTGATGAATCCTTTACAAAATCTGGAAATTTAAAATGCCACCTGCGCATTCATACAGGAGAAAGAAGGTACAGCTGTGAAGAGTGTGGGAAAACTTTCACTAGATTGGATGGTGTCAAAACACATCAACGTATTCACACCGGAGATAAACCGTACAGCTGTGAAGAGTGTGGGAAAACATTCACTCAATCAGGTCCTCTGAAAATACATCAACGTATTCACACTGGAGAGAAACCGTACAGCTGTGAAGAGTGTGGGCTAACGTTCACTACATCAGGTGCTCTCAAAACACATCAACGTATTCACACAGGAGAGAAACCGTACAGCTGTGGGAAATGTGGGAAAACGTTCGCTCAATCAGGTGCTCTCAAAATACATCAACGTATTCACACTGGAGAGAAACCGTACAGCTGTGAAGAGTGTAGGCAAACGTTCACCACATTAGGTAATCTCCAAACACATCAACGTATTCACACTGGAGAGAAACCATACAGCTGTGAAGAGTGTGGGAAAACATTCACTCAATCATGTGCTCTCAAAACACATCAACTTGTTCACACTGGAGCAAAATCATACAGCTGTGAAGAGTGTAGGCAAACGTTCACGACATCAGGTAATCTCCAAACACATCAACGTATTCACACTGGAGAGAAACCATACAACTGTGAAGAGTGTGGGAAAACATTCACTCAATCAAGTGCTCTCAAAACACATAAACGTGTTCACACCGGAGAGAAACCGTACATCTGTGAAGCGTGTGGGGAAACATTCACTGGATCAAATCATCTCAAAACACATCAACGTATTCACACAGGAGAGAAACCTTTCAGCTGTGAAGAGTGTGGGCAAACATTCACGACATCAGGTGCTCTCAGAACACATCATCTTGTTCACACTGGAGAGACACCGTACTGGTGTGAAGAGATGCTGTTTTCTCCCTAACCCATCATTTATTTTCCTAAATCTGAGGAACAGTTTTTTATGTTTTAACCAGCGTTCACACTGTCCCAAAACAAGGCCACAGAGATGCTGTTTCTCCCGATGTAATTCAAATCATTGTTCTACTATACTATGTTTCAACTAGGGCTGTCAAGTTAACGTGTTAATAACGCGTTGAGAAAAAAAATAATAACGCCACTAATTATTTTAACGCGATTAACGCATGTGAATTTTTTGTCCTCGGTCGCCCCGAGTTTAAAATACCATCTACAAGCTGATGCTGACAGCCCCGCTCCTGCCGTCCACTTGCGGCAGACCACACTTCCACGCTCACCGACTGGCCATCGGGAGGACCGGGAGGGTGTGTGGCGCGCGCGAGAGAGAGAGAACGGGCACATCTTACGTGTATTGTTGTTGATAGCATCTGGTGCTAGCTAGCTGCGCTAACGGATATAAGGAGCTTTAAATGAAAACAGAGGAGCGACATTTGGCCGACATCTGCGCCGAGCACTTGACTTTATGCAGGTAGCAAGACAGTGGGACATTGTACGGAAAGTCAGCACTGACAGTGCACGCAACATGATTGCAGCGTCCAGGCAGCTCCCGTTCGAGCATATGCCTTGACTTGCACATAGCTCCAATGATCCATCAGTGTCTCTTTACACACACACACACACACACACACACACACACACACACAGACTTTGTATTGTATGAGAGGTTCCAGGTTGAATTGAGGCGGATATTTTTAATGTTCAGAGGTTGTTATGTTTAATATTCATGATAATATTTGTCATTGTTCAAATGATAATAAACAAACATTTGCACAAAGCATATTTGTCCACTATCAATATGTTGATAAGAGCATTATTAAAAAATATCCCTCTAAGGAACATTTAGAACAGATAAAAATTGTGCGATTAATCGCGATTAACTATGGACAATCGTGCGATTAATCGTGATTAAATATTTTACTTTTTAACCCAATGTGTTTGTCCTGGTTTGATCAAGTGAAGGACTCCAGCACATAATGAGGTATTACACAACAACAATTGTGTTTCTCCAACAGTTATGTATCCAACACCTATCCAACACCTATAAAAGAAGTTCAATCAGAATCATAAAATTGTTCTTTCAATTGTTTGTGGTGGAATAATTTTCTGGAAACTATTTTGATCAACAATGTATAATTTAAGGAATCTTTTAAGCAAAAATGGTAAATATTTAGCATTAGCAACACAATTTTTCACGCTAATTAACATTTATATCTGGCTGTTGAGGACTCTGAAGTGAAGTGTATTTATTACGGCAAATCCATCAATCCAAGTGAATCAAAGTTTATTTATTCAGCCCAATATCACAAATTATACTTCACAGTTTATACAGTGCATGAATACGCCAGAAATTCCCGGTGCTCGTTAAAGAATATTCCTTAAAGACAGAAGAGTTAATAGCCCTTTCTCAATTGTCAAATTTCCGCTTGACTCCATGGTCCTCCGGTAGTGACCCAGAAATCGATTTCAGCACGCCATGTTGAAGGTAAATTCATTTCGGCCGGACTTATCTTAACCAATAACAGCTCTGCAAACTGTCTCTCCCCTGGATATTCGGCTACTTTTTTTATTTTATTAACTGCTTTAATCATGACACAATGTTTCCAGTAAGAACAGCTGCTGAACAGTTTGTTTAATATATATCACTCAATAATATATATAACAGGTCTAAATAACACTTGGCAGAAAGTGCTGTTTTAGCCTCTTAAATGTAAAGATTTCCTGCTATCCAATGCTTCCATTATATTATACTGAGTATTTGTGGGTTTGGACTCGAGAAACTGAGATGAACCCTTTTAAAAAATATTTCCCACCAATTATCCATTAATCAATTTTCCCAGAAAATAAGATGCAGATGAATCATTAATGAAAATAATTGTGAGTTGAAGTCCTATTTGTGAGGAGATTCAAACTGGTTAAGGATCATCTCACCCAGTAAAACATGTATTACAAATTGATTTTCTGGCAATAAATGAGCTTAGAGGCAACATAATCAAGCTAAAAGCCAATACTGACATATCAGCAGCATTAATTTAGCAAATATAGCTTTTTTAAACATCTACATCCTCTTGTGTTTTGTTTGATCATGTAGAGCTGCAGGTGGTCATGTAGAGCTGCAGGTGATACTATAGAGCTGCATCATGTAGGGCTGCAGGTGATCATGAAGAGCTGCGTGTCACCGTCAGCAGCAGTTGATCCTGATCTCTGATATTGCGCCAAGGGGAAATTATTTTTACAGGACATTTTGACCGGAGGGATATAGATTTGCCGGTCTTAGTCCGTCAATTACCGGATAACGGAAACTCTGCCCTATGTTAAAAAACAAATGTCCCATTGAGAGATAATAAGGTAAAGATGACCTGCAAATATTGTAACTATACTCACACCATACAGGAGGATAATGGTTGGACATGTAAACTGCCATCAGGTCTGTGGGCCTCTGTCCTTATTTCCCTGTTTTGTCTCGGCCACAGTCAGACAGACCGGATATTTTCTTTGGCTTATTTTATAATCACACTAGCCAGTTGTCATTTCTGCAACTATTGTTGACAGTTTAAGAACAATGTATTTAAAAGGAAGAAGATGGCCCACCACAAAACAGTTTTTTTTTATTTATTTTTTTTAACAACTTTATTTTTCAGTTTATCACAAATACAGTATGTCCAACATTTATGACAACAAGTTGCAAACGCCCCAGATCCCACCCCCTCCAGGTGGTATTCCCAGTGAATAGACAAACGAGAAAGAAAAAAAACGAATGGTCATAGAAATAAAATATAAAAAATATATAAATACAAGTAAAATAAATGAAAAAATAAGGAATAGGCCAAATTAAACACATACAACAAAAACGACGATAATAGACAGTATACGAGTAGATAATCAGATATAATAAAACACACACATAACCCAAAAAAGCATTTCAGTTTATGCTATTCTTATTGCCAGCCTTCTAAACCCTTAGTCTGACAAGGTACGTAACAACTTCAAGCCCAAAGTTAGGGACCCCAGAGTGCCCAGGTCAATAGTCAAAGACAGATGCAAAGTGAATCAGGTGAGGGATAGGCCTCTAACATGGGCAATAAATAGCGACCAAGTTTTGTCGTATTTGTTGACTAAACCGCGCACTGCATATCTCAATTTTTCCAAGTCTAGCCCAAGCATCACTTCCCTGATCCAGTGAATATAGGAAGGGGAATGTTTTCCTTTCCAATTCAGCAGTATGAGACGGCGGGATGCAGCGACGCATAGGCAACTGCATTTTTGTGGAGGGAGGAGAACCCTAATCCAGTATTAACAGTTCCAAAAATAGCTGTTTGAGGATTAGGCGATAGTATCCTGCCAGATATTGCAGAGAGTGACCGAAACACAGAAGCCCAGAAACTGCTTAATGACGGACATGACCAGAACATATGGCCCAGGGAAACAGGAGAATAATGACACCTGGGACAGGTTGGAGCGACACTGGGAAAGATCTTAGCTAGTCTGTCGTTGGAGTAATGTAGCCGGTGTACCACCTTAAATTGGATTAATCCATGTCTAATACAGAAAGAAGAGGTGTGTATACGTGAAACAATGCTTCCCCAGGCTTCCTCTGAAATAGAATCACCAATATCTCCTTCCCATGCTTTTTTAGTTTTGTCCCATGTGGGAGGGCAGTTATTCAGAATCAATGTATATATTTTGGACACAGCCCCTTTATTAAATGGATTCACATTAAGAACCGAGTGAGCTTGATCTTTAGAAGGTGGACATGGATATCCTGGAAAATGCAAAAGGCAGAGCCTGGAGGTATCTAAAAAAGTGAGATTTTGGTATGTTGTGATCCCTACACAAGTGTGTAAAGGATGCGAAACTGCCGTCACTAAAAAGATCTTGAAAATAGACCAAGCCACTTCTATGCCAAAGAGCAAATGCCATGTCGAAACGGTATGGTGTAAAAAGGTGATTAGACATTATTGGCGAGAAACTGCATATGCTTTTCAGATTCATATGTTTCCTAAATTGACCCCAGATCTTAATTGAGTTTTGGACCTCTAAGTTTGAGTTAAACTCACTTACTTTAACATTCAATGGAAGGGGGGCAGTTAAAAATGAGATTGGGGAAACTGGGAGTGTGGACTCCAACTCCATTGTAGCCCATATTGGGCCCTCCTGGTCTGCAAATGTGGTAATCCAGTATGTGAGTTTAGCAATGTTAGCTGCCCAGTAATAAAATAGGAAATTAGGTAGACCCAAACCACCTTCAGATTTGACCCTCTCCAGATGTGCCTTCTTTGTGCGTGCAGGCTTCTTATTCCATATAAATGCAGAGATAAGGCTGTCTAGTTGGGCAAAAAAGGATTTTGGGATGAAAATCGGAATAATTTGAAACGGGTACAAATATCTGGGCAATATTGTCATTTTCACAGCATTTATCCGCCCTGATAGTGTGACAGGCAGCTTCGACCACCTATCTAGATCATTCTTGGTGCGTTCCAAGATAGATTTATAATTGTACTTAAAAATATCCTTAACCGAGCCTGCTATCTCAATACCCAAGTAAGTAAATGTTTCATTTTCAATCCTAAAGGGCAGATGACCATAATCCTCCAGCCTTGCCAAGTCATTGAGAGGAAACAGTAAAGATTTTGACAAGTTAATTTTGTAAACTGATATGTTCCCAAATGTCTTCAGCAAGGAGAGAACACATGGCATGCTTTCTATTGGGTCTGACATTTGCAAGAGCAGGTCATCCGCATATAGAGATGTTTTATGCACTGTGTTGCCCCTGGAAACGCCCGTTCTGATAGCAATTGCTAAGGGTTCAATTGCAATGTTGAATAAATAGGGTGACAGGCAGCATCCCTGCCTTGTTCCTCTGTAGAGCATAACATATTCGGAAATAAGACTGTTTGTTCTAACAGCTGAGTATATTGTCTTAATCCATTTACAAAAAACAGGTCCCAGTCCAAATGTTTCCAAGGCAGCAAAAAGATAGTTCCACTCAATCCTATCAAACGCCTTTTCAGCATCAAGGCTCAGGATAATTTCAGGCCGTACTTTGGATTTAGGGGACAATAATAAATTAAATAACCTCCGTACATTAAAAAATGAATGTCGCCCAGAGATGAAACCTGTTTGGTCTTTATCAATAATGGTAGGAATAAAGGCTTCTAATCGCTGCGCAAGGACTTTAGTTAATATTTTATAATCAC